CAATCCATCTCAAACACAAACACAAACTTTTGAACGATTCATGAAACCCTTCTCGACAAAACGTTCAAAAACACATACCAAAATTATCCACCAAACCCCGAAAAAACAAATGTTGGTTCATTGAAGACTGCCAAAAAGCTGTTGCGACCAAAAAATCAGCTCTAAAACAAACGAAGACCTCATTAATTTCAAAATTGCGCGAGCCCAAGCACGCAAAATAATAAGAACAGCTAAAAAACATCTTTTCGAAATTATGTCTCTAAAATAAACAACAACACACCAATGCACAAAGTCTGGAAAATGATAAAGAAATTAAAATGTACTAAAAAAGACACAATCAAACACATCCTAAAACCGAATAACTCCTTCTTAGAAACCGAAAAAACAGTAGCTGACTGTATAGCATCAACTCTTTCAGGAAATTCCTCTACCCACAATTACAACCCTGAATTCAAAAAAGTAAAAATGTCTTCTGAAAAGACAACTGTTGATTTTACCTCTTCAAATGAAGAGAACTATATTTGCAGCTTTTCTTTTAATGGATTAAAATGTAATATTGCAGAACTATCAAACACAGCTCCAGGCCCTGATCAAATACACAACGAAATTTATCATCAAACGTCTTCCAGACGAAACACTCCTATTACTCCTTGATATTTACAATGAACTCTGGCATTCTCAACAATTTCCGAACAGTTGGCGTCTTGCCACTATTATACCAATCCCAAAAACAGGAAAAGATCACTCTAATCCATCAAACTACCGTCCCATAGCCCTTATAAACTGTTTCTGCAAACTTATGGAAAAACCTATGTGGTTTCTCGAAACCTCAAACTCCTTATCCAATTTCCAATGCGGTTTTCGCAAAAATCGCTCTACTATTGACCATCTCGTCCGACTTGAAACTTTCTTTCGGGAAGCTTTCATTCGAAAAGAGCACCTTGTAGCTATTTTTTTCGACTTAGAAAAAGCCTTAGACACCACATGGAAACATGGTATTTTAAAAGACCTGCGTGACTTGGGCATACGCGGAAATCTTCCCGAATTTATACGAAACTTTCTGAAAGATCGATCATTTCAAGTAAAAGTAGGTTCAACCCTATCAAATTTACACATCCAAGAAGAAGGCGTCCCCCAGGGAAGCATCTTATCGCCCATTCTTTTCTAAATCAAAATCAATTCCATCACAAAAACCCTTCAAAACAATATTGACTGCTCACTTTACGTTGACGACTTCCTGATCTGCTATAAATCCAAATCCAAAATGGATCACATTGAACGTCAGCTTCAGCTTCAACTCCATAAACAAACTGGAAACTTGGGCAAACGGGCACGGGTTCAAATTTTCCACATTAAAAACAAACTTGGTACATTTCTGTCGGTCGCATAAGTGTGTGCGACAACCAGATTTACATTTGTTTGGAGAGAAAATTCCTGTTAAAAAACAAGCTCGTTTCCTGGGCGTAATCTTCGACAATAAACTTTCTTTCCTACCACACTTGAAAGACTTAAAGACGAGGTGTCAGAGTGTTCTCAACGCCTTAAAAGTATTATCCAATCCTGAATGGGGAGGAGATACTGAAATACTTCTTCAACTTTACCGTTCCCTTGTCCGTTCCAGGCTGGACTATGCCAGTCCTGTTTACGGATCAGCCAGAAAGTCTTACTTTAAAATTTTAGACCCTGTTCAGAACCAAGGCCTTCGCATTGCCCTAGGCGCTTTCCGTAATTCACCTGTAGAAAGTTTACAGGCAGAAGCGCATGAACCATCTTTAGAACTTGGAAGGAAAAAACTCTCTTTGCAGTACGCTTTAAAACTTAGCTCAGTACCCCAAAACCCAGCCCACAAATATGTCCTTGGCCTTCCCGAAGATCTAAAAACTCTATCCTCCTTAGGAAATAAAGTAAGCCCTTTCGGAATAAGAATCCAGAACGACCTCAAAGACATTGATTTTTCTGAAGACAAAATCGAGCCCTTTGCCATGTCCAGCATACCTCCATGGTATTTAATCAAACCAAACATAGATACTGGTCTTGAAAAACACAACAAAAAGTCTACAGACAAAACTACATACTTAAACTCATACAAACAGCTAATAAATAGATACCCTGAAGCAGAGAAACTCTTTACAGACGGATCCAAAAATGACTCCTCAGTAGGAGCTGCTGCCCTGCATCGCCACACAGCTGAAGCTTCAGGAAACTCCAACCAGAAGCTTCAGTCTACACTGCTGAGGCTACAGCTCTTGAAATGGCCCTAAATATTATAGATCAATCAACCAAGTCTACTTTCCTAATCCTTTCAGACTCTCTCTCCTGTCTGAAATCTTTAGAGCGCTCTGACACCTCCGACAACAGAATTTTAAAACTTATAATTAAACTGCATTTTCTACATCAGTCTGGAAAAACTATTACAATAGCTTGGCTTCCAAGCCATGTAGGCATTGATGGCAACGAAACCGTAGACCAATTTGCCAAAGAATCTCTAAAACTACCTGAAAACAAAAATAGTAAAATCCCTTTCTCTGACATGAAACCGAAAGTAAAAGAACACATCATATCCTCCTGGTCCCAAATTTGGAATCAACAAGTACACAACAAACTCCATTACATTCAACCGAAACTTACGCCCAGGAAACCACTATCTCTCCCACGAAGAGAAAAAATAATTTTTACCCGACTAAAGATAGGACACACGCACGTCACGCACAAACAGTTGCTCGAAGGAGAGGAAGCTCCCTTTTGCGTGGCGTGCAACACAAATTTCACAGTTCGGCACATCCTAACGGAATGTGTCGAATTTAAATAATGTACGTGAAAAGTATTTTAAATGTAAAGATATTAAGACCCTTTTTGACACTATAGAGCCTAGAAAAATTTTAAGTTATATAAAAGGAATTGGAATATTTAATAGAATATGAAAATATATAGTTATCGTTATCGGTGTATATGTACATACGGTGTATATATACATACACTGAAATTTATATTGTATATACAATTGTAAATAAGCCTTTTCCATATTTAAATTTTTTTAAAAAATGAATGTTTGTTCGTCTTTTTAGCATAATGGAAATAGTGTGATCGTTTGCGGTTGCGAGCTCCGAAAGACTCTTACTAAAAATACGTCTGATTTTGTAGCGGTGAAACCTGTTGGCGCTTAAATGACCAAATTGTGTCGATAGTGCCGTAAAACATCTACCCAATCAATCAATCATTCCAATTTATAGTGTCCAATTCCCTTTCAATTGGGGGGAGATTCCTTCTTCTAGCGCCAGATGACTCTTCGCGACAATTTGCCTGCATGCTGTGTGTTGTTACTAAAAAAAAACTTTAAAAAAGAGGCCCACGAAGTTATTAGCTGCAAAATTCTAATGGCACAAACTCTCCCTACGCCCTCTCTTAATAATTTGTTATTGTAGTCTGTGGACTTAATCGTCAACAGACATTCGAGGGATCTGTAGGCCTCTACATCTCAATAAAGAGATTAGCAGTGTGTTTTGACCAAATCACCATACATTACACTGTACAGTGACCGTGCAGTAGTGGATAATAGAAATCTAGTGTGCAGTGTGTAGTCCTAGCAACTTTGACGTCAGATGCACTTACAACGCACTGGGTGACCTTGATACACAACTTTAGATTGAAAAAAGACAATTGAAAAACAAAGTTTGCTCAAGTTTTAAAATATGGCATCAAATCAGTTCCACGTGAGCCACGTTGCTTATTTTGATATGCTGATTTCGAAAATGAAATCAGTTTTTAGCTGCGATAATTATTTTGAAAATTCTGCGCTCAAAGAATCCGGCGTGGCGGCAAACTTGAAAGGAATTTTTACGTCACAGCCTTCCACTTGTCACTTCACATGTGGGGAAGGGGGGGGGGGGTCTATTATAAGATCAGTTAAAAGTGACTGTGTCTGTCCTCTTTATGATAGGAAAATACTACACGATGCCATCTTGATAGAATCTATAATATAAAATACTTCTTTTTGAGATCTTCTAAATCCTGTAAGAATAACAGTCACCCGCGACTTCTTTCGTTAATTTAAACACGCTGGTTCCGAATTTGATATTATTTTTACGATCAGACATAGTTTTAGATGTTTATGGAAAAATCTTTTCGGCGGGCCGCGGGTGTATCGATACCATCATCAATACCATCTCGACGAGGTATTCGCTTAGGGCAGTCGCTGTTCCCCAGACAAATTTTTTCCTATTTTTAAAAATATAGTCGCTGTTCCCCGGTGCTCCGATCCTCTATAATGTATTACTTCGCAGTTCTCTGTCTTTGTAACTAATGTAACACCCATCTTTTCACATACCCCTCCTCCATTTTTGATCCAGCAAAGAAACACTGAAGAGACGAATTCCACGAAATGCACTAGTGACCCACTAAATCCCTGATTCAATTTAACAATGTTGAACTAACTACTCTCGAATGACACCGTGACACTTTTCAATATATTCCCACCCTGCAATAATATTCTGTCTCTCTCTCTCTGTCTCTCTCTGTGTCTTTCTCTAAATCTCTCTCTCTCTCTCTCTCTCTCTCTCTCTCTCTCTCTCACTGTCTCTCTTTCTCTCCCTCTCTGTCTGTCTCTCTATCTCTCTCTCTCTCTCTCTGTCTCCACGATATACACTGTCTGCCTCTCTTTCTTTGTCCCTCCCTCTCTTTCTCTTCCATCTCCCCGTCCCCCTCCCCATCTCCCCTCCCCTCGTTCTCTCTCTCTCTCTTTCTCTCTCTCTCTGTCTCCCTCTCTCTCTCTCTCTCTCAACACACCCACCACACCTCGTCTTCTCGACCCCTTCTTATA